CACCACCGGTCACGTGACGTCGCCTCCGCGCCGCGCTCACCACCGTCACCAATATGGCTGCCGCCTGCCATTCCGCTACATCACACCTCTACCGCGGTGTTTAATGTCACATTTAATAGTTGCACTTGCTTCTTAAAAAAAAAACATAATATTAGTAGTAATATCCAAACATTTTGTATCATAACTGTGAGTAGTCGTAGAGTTGGAAAAGTGTTATGCGATATTGAGAATTCAAGAGTTGGTGGTAGTGACTTCTGCCTAAATCGATGTCTTTTTTGTGTCTTTCACCAACTCGATGTTGCTATCTGGTTTTTACTGTTTTTGTTGATACAACACTTTGAGCTGTTCTTTACAGTAGTAGAAGATGTGTGTGAATTAAGAATTGTGTGGACATGGAGACTTGTCATTCTGCCAACTTCATTGCTTACTCTTTTCGAGGAAGGTAGTGTCCGTGTTCAGTGTCGTTGAATAAACTTGTGCATGAAATTTGCTGACTATCTACACAGGGCCGTTCTGTTATCGCTCTGTAGGCCAGTAGGCGCTTCAGTTAACCTGTATAAAGCGTCGATCACACACGTTATGATTCTACATCTGCTTTTGCCTTGCTTTATTGTACAAGTTTTTCTGACAATTCTGAATAGATTTGCTCGATCTTTGGACTTCACGTTCCTCTTATGGAATCCTATACCTCCGAACTTGATCAAAATTTTATTGCATATTATTTTATTCATAAATTTCCAATTAAAGCTTTTACCGGACGTCAAACAACTGATATAATTTAGATTAAACGTATTTAGAAATGTTAAAAGTGCTTTACTCCTGTAGGTTATTCGTCAAATTTGTTCTCTTAATTTCTTCCCACGTTTTTAAGCGAAGTTCACGTTCCCCACATTTCATTTTCCTTATTTTTACATTCCCGAAAACTAAAATGTCTTTTTTCGTATTTCAGACTGAATCAGTAATGGGGTCAACCGGCTTACATTCATTTTCGTCAAACCAGGAAAAGGTTTTACAGACTTGGGCTAAAAAGGTCCGTTTCGGTTTTTACTAATCCCATCCTTTTCAGACAAGCAAGTGGGCCGCCGAAGAAGTCCTCTTGCTTGGTTCCTTGCCACAATGTCTTCCAAAGCGTGAGCTGAACATATTGTTGATTCCTGGTTAATAGATTTGAATGAACTCTCTTCCATATTCTGCCAAAATTTGGTTTCATCTTTAAAGTCATTTGAATGGACTGATGAGCCTCGATCGATAAGCAGGAACTTGCGGAAGTTGCTTCAGGTTTGTTCGTTTTTTTCCCCTACCCAATACATTCGCCAAGAATTTTACCTCCGATTCCTCTCTAGATCCATGCACTATTGTTGGTCTTTCTATTGCCAGTGGTCAGATTTTCGTCTATGATGAAATTGCGCCCCCAATATTACAACTCTTTGTATTAGAATTAATGGTATTACCCTTTGCTAATGGTTAATATTTCACTAGAAAGACATTAGCTTTCCTGGACTTGTGTACCTCTTATCACCAGGGTTGGCTGCGTTGTCTCTTCAGATTGATCCTTCCAATTTTTGTAATCCTACTCAAATCTCCAAGGCGAATGTTGCCTTGAAGAAAATTTTATTTGATATTCACAGTAAGGATCTTTCATGTGCACTCTCTCGGGCACTTTTTGTCCAGTGGAGTCGTGTTGCCTATTGGCTCGCGGTTATGGGTGCAATTGATGGTAATTCCGACTTCTTCAGCACCGCGTTCAAATTTCTGTTTTGCGTCAACTATAATACCTCGTGGTGCACAACCAGCTTGCCGTGTTTTTCGGTGAGCCCACTTCCTGTTTCCGGTAATTTTTCAACAGGTTCTGCCTTTATTTGGTGTTCTACGGAGGACACTCTCCGAACTTGACGATCTGACAAGTCTTTCCGTTACCCAAATCTATCAGAAAAACCTGGAAGAAGTAACACAAATATGTACATCAGTTGCTTCTAATCTCGTGCAGCCGAAATTAGCTTCGATTTGTGTCTGTTTGTTTGATAGGCTTCTAATTCTTAGTGTCCATCAAGCAGGCCTGTCGGCCGAACAGGTGGCGGAGCTTGTTCTGTTTTCGGTCCCAGTAAGTTACCTTTCCATCTACTCATTTTGCTTAAGTAGGGTATTATTTTAAGGACGCGTTCTTGAGGTCACGTACGCAATATTGATTTTAGCGCATTTTTCACCTTTCAGGACCTGGCTAAACGCTCCTTTCAAGCTTGGCTGAAGTTCTGGTTGGTCTGTGACGTCCGTGGAAATCCATTTCTTGATCTATTTGACTAGCTTTGGTAAATACTCTTATTTTTACTAAAGTATTTTTCTCAAACCCCGCGTTTTTTTTACATGTAGCAGCTAGTCTTGACATTTTCTGTTGCCCTAACCTGCCCATCGGCTTGTTATTTCGCCGCATAATGTTATGCAATCCATATCAACTGACTTCGTTTCAGCACATTTTTCTGGCCCATGTTTTGTGCGTTGTTGATTCGTCTTAAGCTTCGCATCTGCATATTTATTTTAAGGAGCATTCCATGCCAGACGCAGTGGTATATTCGTTAACATGTGGAGGGCAGTTTCGTTTAAAAGTGAGGGTAGCTGAGGTTGTTAGGCCAAGCTTCTGGCGCGGTGCAAATGCCTTCAGGGGGCTGCGAATTTCCGTAGGCAAAGTGCGAGGCAATTTGATTGGCTTTTGCTCCTTGTAGGAACTGGTGGAATTTTGTCCCATCTCTGTGGCATACTTCTATGGTGGCTACTGGGCAAATGCGAAAATAAATTCCTGCCCACTTCTGGCACTTGGTTGCACGGTGCGCTCTAAATGTATCAACACAGTCGTTGCTCCTGTCCCCGTGCCCAGGTCGGCACCGCTTTCGTGATCGATGGCCGTGGCAACCACTGTTGTTGTGCTCTTCGAGCTCGGCAGTGCATGCAATAGTTTTTCAGTTAACTTTGGAGTTATTTTACACTGTAGCCTTTACGTCGGTCTTGATCACAAGTCCGTTAGATGTCCACTGGGTTAGGCTGTTTTTAAGGTCGTGTTCGACAACTCCACTTGCTGTGGTTTTCGGTTTTTCGCGAGCACTTCCCAGGCCATTTTTATTTACAGGTTGTTAACAACGACATTCACTGAATGTATTTGACGTGTAAACAAATTCAGCGCCACACTTACGTGGTCAGCTTGGCTAGCTGTGAACACACACAAAAGGCATGTATATGGGGCCATTTTTCAAGTGCACATAGTGGCACCACTAATACGCAATATGCCGCGACTACTCGATTGCCTGTCTGCTTCGCCGTCCCAGCATAACTATGACTAAGAAAAGTGTCAGCTATAATATTCCCCAAAAACTTGCTTTCCCAGTAAGTTAGTGACTATGTACGCGTATAGAAATCTCAAACTATCTTATTAAGGAAATTTATCATCAGTTCCGATCAAGAAAATCTGTCAATGTCGAGAGCTTATACCGTCTAATGGGAGGGTCTTTAAGCTTATCCATGTTGCCATGTCCTAGCAAAGTTACCATGGTTATTTGATGTTGTGCGTGCGACAGGTCTTCGCAAAACTAGGACCACGGATTAAACGTTGCAAACTCCTGCATTACTGAAGTTTGTAAATGAAAACGAGCTATGATTGGTTAGTCGTGGTAGACATCAATCATGGTCCTCTGGTAGGAACCCCACATCGGTACCACATGAAATCCTGTGACTTTTGGTACTCACAAATAATCCATCTGTGTTTTCAAAAATAGCAGGACTCAATTTTAATGTGACCACGGGCAGAAAATATCATCGAGCGATCTTAGTAAGAACTGCGTATGCTAGTATTTGCTTTCAAAGCCCACTTTCATTTTAACGTTTGTGTACCAAACATTGCCAACCACGTCTCCTTTACTAGGGTGCTTTTTCGCTAGGCGTTAATTATACGACGATTCAGTGAGTTTCATGTGATAGATCATGCACTACCTCCAGCAGGAATCAATACCGCCTCTCACTAACCAAGCATAAGCATGAACCAACGTTTTGCTCTCACTACTGCTAATTGACGCAGAACAAAGTAATGCATGGAAGTTATATTCACATGCGGCATTTTATATTTGGGATGCTATGCACACCTAGGTCCGAGCTAGCCGTGCGCAGGCACAGGCAATTTCACCCACCTACTAAAAATTCCCCCGTGCTGGATAAGCTGTCCGGTCACGCTCCCTCGGAATACCAATCTTACGGGCAGAGGTCGTTCTGCGCATAATCGTGGACCAAGCTAATTTAGAAAACATTTGTTTTCACCCGGTCGCACCGGAGAGATCGGGCACTGATACTTTGGTGGACAACCCTACATTCACTTGAATCACTTCGTGTGGTAGATCAAAATAACTACCAAAGCAGCATGTCTACAAGGCTTTTGGATAAGCGACCCAGTTCCATTGATTAAAGATGCGGATTACACCCAGGTAGTTAAAAACGAAGCCGTCTTTCGAAATCAATTCGTCGTATATTTTTGTACCTGCATTACCAAATAATGCGTTAGAACTGAAATGAGTAATGTGTATGATTCTACTACGAGACCGATTCCCTAAAGCAGAAGGCTGCGAAGACTACTTGGCTTTGCCTTGGTTGGCGACGCTACTGATGGCAGCTGCAACGGTAGCCTCATCAGCAAGGTAGTAGTGTTTTACAGGGCGAAGGTTCTTATCCAATTCGTACACCAGCGGAATACCTACAACAAAATAGAAATACGATATTTCGCCATACATTGTGTCAGTCCAAAGGCCAAGATTTAATTGCATAGTACACGACCATCAGCAATCCCAAAATATTCAGCATGACGATAGAACTCAAGAGGAATTAGACAGGGCGGCATTTAAACGATATGGCGCTTATTATGCGACGACCAAATACTCCGAGAAAGTAGAACACATTATACGAGTGTCTGAGGAGGAAAGCGGCTGAGTGCTACACGTGTTAAAAAGTGAAGGTCTGATGCTCTGCAATGGCCAATCATAACAACCAAGCAATTTTTCTTTGCTTTTTCTTGTTGCGTTTTCGAGCATACTTTTTTTCAAGACTACGACACGCAGTGAAGCTGACTGCAGTAGATAATTTTATACACAAACGAGGCACAATTGTTGCTAAATTGACACCTAAATCTGGGCGTTACGAAAGAGCTAAAAACAACTGAAGCCCTCGCTGGTTACATAGTTCTGATAAAATTCACACGGGATAACAGTTAAATTCAACGCTTTAATTTGCTTAGTTCAAAATTGCAATTAACTTGCCTTTGCCACGACTAGTAACCGTCAGTCCGAAACTGTACAAGAACAATCACATTTTGACTCATGCAGATTGCAAATAAATCCGACAGGTTGACGTTTAAATTAATAATAATATGAAAAACCAACCTACCTGTAGGGATATTGAGTTCCACGATATCATTGTCAGGTATCTTATCTAGAAACTTAACGATAGCTCGAAGACTATTTCCGTGGGCAGTAATGAGAACCCGCTTTCCAGACTGAAAATTAAAGGGACAATGATAAATCTTTTTGCATAACTTAAGCACACGCCAAACGTATGTGCGGACGTGACTATGAAAAGTACATGTCCGAAGATGCACTTTGGCGTGTAGGAAGAAAACATGCTTTTGAAGGGCGGGACATTTTCAAGCAAGTTCTTCGTAGTTATGCGTTCATTTCGGCATAAATTACCTTGATTGCAGGAACAACTTCGTCGAACCAGAATGGAAGAGCGCGTTCCACAGTATCCTTCAGACATTCAGTTACCGGAATGCATTCGATGTCGAGCATCTTTGAATAAAACAAGCAATTATGTAGATTAGCTACACATGTAACGCATGAAATAGATAAAACAGCAAGTGGTGCATTTAAAAGAAAACACTTCGAAGCAAAAATAGTTAATTCAACAGTACACTGCCACCGAATTCGCCTTAACATCATCTTTAAGATTGAAAGTCAGACTACCTTCAGTAAAAACTTCAAACTTTTTTGTGAGGCAAGATAATGCAATTTAGTAGAGCCGAAAATATACTGTAGTTTTCCGAGGAATCTAGCTTATTAGGTCAAGACATGATCAAATGAGTAGATAAATGATCCCATTGGCAAATAAAACCAGCGTTGGATGTTCGTTGTAGTAGTGAAGATTGAATAAGAATAAAAACCTTGTATTTTTCCTCATGTCCTGGCCAGCGCTCATCAGAGGTTTGGAGCGCAGGTGGCGGGATGTCGTAGGCACGACGCCAGATTTTTACTTGATCCTCACCGTGCTTTGCAGCAGTTTCAGATTTGTTCAATCCCTGCAGACCGCCATACATTCGCTCATTCAAGCGCCATGATCTAGAGTCAGTATAAAAGTGTAATTCAGTGAACCACTAAAACAGGTGAAATTGATTTGCATTAAATGATAAAGAGGACTAGCAAGAAATGCTTACTCTAAGGCGCAAAACTACGCTGTGATTAACTACAAGCTGAGATCGAGATAAAATATGGCAAGAAAACAAAAAAATTCCAAAGAAGCTATTAATATGGAAGAGTGCTAGTATTTCAAGGCCGTGAAAAAAGCAGAATTTTAAGTGTCGGTCCAAAGATGCTGTAATTATGCTTTCTTGAAACAGCGTTTGCTAATCTGAAACAACGAATGTAAGCAGAATCATTGACTGCCCTAGAAACTGCCATAGAGAACATACAAAAAGAAGCTGGAAATCGTGGATAGGCTGATTCCCCAAGCACTATTACCAGATGATAATAATAAATGTCAACTCGAAAAATGTACTGCATCTAACAGTGGGAAATTTAACGTCAACACAATGACTATTGCACGACAAAGCTGCAAACAGTTTAAGCTGACGTAGAGGATATTTGCTTCGAGATTACTACAGACCAGAAAACCTTACTTGTGAACTGGGATCCAATGAAGATCGTTCACTTCAAGCACATTGTTAAGAGTTTTGATAGCACGCTTTAAAAGACTGGTGAACGCCACGTCGAATGATAGACCTTTTTCTTTTATCATTTTTCCGGCGTTAGTAGCCTCTTCTACACCTTTTGGAGACAAATCAGCATCATGCCAACCACAAAATCTGTTTTCCTGATTGTAAACACTTTCGCCATGTCGAATAAAGACAACCTTGTACGAAGACCCCATCATTGCAAAAACCTGCGTAACCAACTCCCCCCAAACAGTGCAAACAAACTAACAATTAAAACAAAACTTGCAAGTCATTTAGTTTCAACACAAAGGTCTTCCGTTTGAATTAGCATTATTTTATTGTTAAGGTTATTTTTATGTTTATAAATACCTAAACTGACATATTGAATTTGCATAAATAAGCTACCTTGCAAAATTTTGCATTTACAAAATAAAATCCAACCTCGTTTTAACAAGCAAAAGTCGTAAATATTCCTTTAAAGTGGAAAACCTAATTGTAGTCTTAGACTTATGCCTGATATAAATGAAGCTCAGCTGTTTTATTTGAAAATGCTTAATTTCCTATTTCCAATTCGCAGCTCATTTAGGGACCCACACTAATATCTCTAAAGCTGAAAACCCGTGGAAAATATGCTACATTCAAAAGCAAAATTAACGGCTTATTTCATTGAGGTAGGTACTTACTGTGGAATCCAGTCATAGCAATTGCAACGCAATAAAAGTTGGTCTTTTTGCGCAAACACAAGAAAAGGCACTTCGATTTTTAATCAAAGAAATTTAACTGTAACCCATTTCTGCTTTACAAAAACTAAAAGATCACTTCTTGTTTTGTTCTACGGCGTACTCCTTCAGTCGTGTTGAATTAAACTGATTTGCTTTTCGCCAAATGAAATCGGGTTTCGTATAAATCAAAAGTTTAAATATATATATTCTTATAATTTCTAAGGACCAATTTTTGCAAAGTGTTTAAGACGTAATATACTGGACCCTTTTGTAATTAATAATTCATGAGTAATATCAACCTAAATTGTTTATCTAGATCGACCAATTATTCATCTTTCAAAGGGATTTCTATCGTAGGGCGTCCTGCTCTGCCAATGGGGAGTAATTGGAACGATAGGGCTTGGTGGCCTGAACCAGATGGTATTTTTAATTACGCAACTTATGGAATATGTAGAGGCTGATGTGTCGCTTGCCAGAGAAAATTTGGACCAGATTCTAATCGCATATAAAGAAAACCCCGAGAAAGTGTAGTTATCAATTGACACATAAGTCGAAATTTCTAGAAAAGAAAGCCTTAAGTACAAAGATGAAGTTATGAGTCGAAAAGATGTAATGGAAAAAGAGAAATTCAGGTCACCCCTATATAAAGTTGGAGGTGGTGATTTAAAACGCAGGAAAAGAGGACTGGCGTCAGATGATGACGATATGTACAAAGGTATGTGAATCAAATTCCCACTATTGTCTTTTAGAATCGTTTGTTATCAAAGTTTTTGAAAGAAGCGTCGATTTTGGTCAATTTGGTGACAACGCTCCGCTGTACCCAATGGCACGTGCGTGGATTCGTAACCTAAATCAAGGCGACAAATCTGCATGGAACGATATCCCAAGCAACGAAGACGATCGTGAAGTAATAATATATCTGCTCTTATCTTGTATTCTTGATATGGGCCCTTAGGTTTTCTAATATAGTTTGGTGGCTTTTAGGGCAGTGATCAGCTACCAGATTGTCATTATGCTCTACCGAAGCCGAATGACGGCCTAACAGACAGTCAAGTGCGTGTGCCTCAGCCGTTGCCATCTTCTGGACAGCCATTTGTTATCAACGTTGAAGTAAGTATTCGCTTCAATTCACGCATATTGGTTGTCGATGCATTCACGTATAGTCTTTACGGCTTCGAGGTATTCTGTGCTTCGGTCAGTTGTAGATGTAATTTTAGATTCCCAATATTGGTGGTTAATTGACGATCCCGAAATTTTTGAAAGTTCTTTGTTATCGTTCATTAGTGTATTGTCCAATTTACTCCTTAACAAGTTTAAAATTGGCGTTTTCTTAGCAATACTATGTACTGACATCGCACGTCCTATTTTACAAAATAAAATTTGGACCATGCTACTCATTTACGCATCCTACATCTCAGCATGCTATATCCCAGCAGCGTGTGTAAGTCATTCCACTAATTTTTCATTGCATCTTCAAAATATTGCAAGTCTTAGTAAAAAGGCAAGGCTAGGAATGTAAACCTTAGGGGTGGGAACACGAAAAACAGCCGACCGTCGTTAATTGAATTAAAAAATCACGAGTTGGAAGTAATCTTTTTCGATGTTGAACTCATTAATTTGAAATATCTATTAAAAATAAACATGTAAATACTGATTAATTTCGAAGCCAATTGATGAATATTCTCGTGCACACTTTGTTTAGCTCTTCACAACCCGCTGACTTATCATTTTTGCCTCACTTGACTTCAGCAACTTGATTTGTAGAACCCTCCAAAGGAAATGTCTCCAGAAGGCCTACTAGAACAACACATAACCCGCTGGCGTGAAATTAGGCGAAAGTAAGCATGAATTGCGTTTTAATCTGCAACATCATTACTCGTGCTCATCATGTCATCGTGTGAAGATTGTCAGCTCATGTATATGGTGTTTTTTTAGTCCTTTAATACTATTACTCGGATGAAGTATTCTTGTTTACTTAAATATCTAAGACTACTGTATTTAAATTTTATAATTTAGTCTTTTTTACTTTTAGGTGGAAGGCAGCATGCAGGGAAAACGAGGAACGCTACAGGGACTCTTATATTATCCTCCGGGAAATGTATGATAAGTATTGCAAAGATCTTCCGTAAGACGTTGGTCTTCTCCGGTCGATCTTACTTGCACACCGCCATCGGCATGCACACATTGTAAAAATCTGTTTCTAATAAATTTTCAATGTTCTGCCACTTCAGCCACTCTTCTATCCAGAGGTTTTGTAGGTCGGGTTCCTCATCAGTTGAGTAGTAGTGAGGATCCTAAGAAAGCAAACTATATTAAAAGTGGTGAATTTGTCTTTGATGTGACCTGATTTACAGCAGAAATTTGCCTGAGTAACTGGCCGTGTAAGACCATTTGTCTGACGAAGTACGAATTATAGCTTTTTTTACGTTGGTGTTCTCGTGATTGCTCCTTCCCAAACCTATTATCGAAATGGGAACACCTGCTTTGGGTGCGAATTTAACTTTATAAGACCTTGCAAGGACTCATTCCTACAAATAACAGAAGAAATTACCAATATCAAAAAGTGCGTAGACTCATCAAGTTTTTCCTTCATCGCGAGGATGCACTTTGAGGAGCAGTCCTTACTACCGCCTTTAAAATGACTAAGGGTAAGCTGGTCAACTTACCCATCATTAGTGGTGCTCCAGCATGTGTAAAATGATCGCGTATTGTTGCCAGGTGGTTTTCCCTAAACTTGCCACCAGGCACATGAATAAGCTTGTAGTCTGTCTATGTTGAGTTATTGTAAAATACCAAATTCATACATTTGTTATGGTCTGGATGACAAGTCCCACTTCGAACGAACCAATCCACTCATGTGACTTGTAGAAAGATTGGGGCTTGTCACCAGTGCTGATTAGAATCGATTGGATGTCGTAGATGTCAGGAAACGTTAACTGGTGTGACAAATTCAACTTGAACCATGAAATTAAGGTCTGCAGAGTGCGATAGCCACACCCCCAACCCTAAAAGACCAATGCAAAAAAGGTTTGGTTTAATTGATGGCCCAGTAATATTTAATCCTAATTTGACAAAATCCAGCAGGAAAGCGGAGGTTCTAAGTGGGGCTAAGAAATATTGTCTAAACTACGCTGTTGAAGACGGATAAGTAGTCCGTTTTAAGAAACTAAAAAGGACTGAATTTTACTGGCATAGGAGCAAGGCCTGATCGGTTAGGCGTTTCTAGTCAATTCAACCTGGACTCACCCTGTCGTCAATTTTTTGGTTCCCATAGTGCCAATATTCGGTGATCCCCTTAAATGTGTAAACGGCTTCTTTATCCTGGTCTACCCCATGGAGGCAGTCTGCAGATTTTATCTGTAACATTATCTAAAAAACACTATAGTCAGTTTTTCACTCATCCAACACCGAATTCAATGGGCATTCGTATAAAATCCAGTTCAAATTACCACACCATAAACTCAATCACACTAGTTTGACAAATGAAAAGTCCGGTAATTTGAGAAAGCAAAAATATGAATGCGATGGGAGCGAATGAGTCCTAAAACAAGGGCCATAGTTGCAGTATTGTTCTCATTCAAGTGGTGACCTCAGGTAACTGAAATCCACGACGACCAACAAGGGGAAGGTCAGCACAGAATAAAAGCCCCAGTCAACAGGGCAAACTCGTGAAATGGCAAGAGCAGTGGATTGGAGAAAGGACGATTTCCGTGAAATGGGTAAACACAAAGGCTTATCTGTACAATTAGGAATTTGAGCACTTTACTGACGCAAAAAGAAGGCTTTTTCGAGCAAATGAACGCAATTCCCGTATACAAATGCCGCCTCATGAGAGACTACGTGTCCACCAGCACCAGTCGCCAGAGGAGCGGCAAAAGACCAATGAACTGCATCGAGAACATTGCACTTGCGATTTCTACTGTGAAACAGACAGGCCACAGAAAATGCCTGCTTTCAGCAGTTGTGCTGAGATCACACACGGACCCCAAGATGCACATGATCTGAGCTTAAAAATAGGCGCGTCATTGAGAAATAGCGGAAGTCCACAATTTCTAAGTCTCGCCACTAGAAAAACCTGGGTCTGATCCCTTGGATCTGTCTAATCAACCACACTAGATTGAGCATCGAGTAACTAATCTCATTCAAGTCCGCTACGAGACCCAAAATGAACGGTGAGCTCTAACAATGACAAACACCACTTTCGTGCACGAAATCAACTAATAAGTTATCGCTCCACGCCGTTATGTGGTTGTGGAATCCCCCTGACAGAACTGTATTCCTTCAAATACGGCAGCCACCAGTAAACTCGGTGCGTTGTCCAAGTGTGCAATCTCCGCGCCATAGTGAACGCGATTCAGAGTTTCGATCAATGCCTACGACGAATGCATTTGCCCACTGCCTCCACGGCCGACCGTGAAAGGTGATCATGACCTCTTGGACAAAATGCCTGTTCACCTGAGAACAACACCAGCTACCAGCGATTTCTCCAGACTGACAAGTCATGCAGAACACCTCCTCCACAGCCCTACCTTTGCGATCGTTCAAACTAGGCATGAACACTCGACTTTAGAGCATTGTGCATGGGATGCATCATCTAAACTATCGGTCGAGTTCAGCATGATGCCAAATCCATTCTAGGGAATGTGGTGGCGTTGATTAGGGTGAGGGTGTTGCGCGTTACAGCGATTTCATGCCATTCACAATCCGTTGTTTGCGTGAGGCTGACAAACAATATCCCAGCGCGGTGTTCAATGCTTTCTAAGAAACTGCATAGGTCTTAAACGTTAAAAGTCGAGATAACTCGGCTTATTTAAAAGGACACCACAACCACCTGGTTAAAAAAGGACCTCGGTCCAATCAGACAGAACAGTGGCACACATAAATGTCGCATCTTGTAGAAAATATGCGCGTTTTTATTCTATCGGTGACAGTGAACAGATTAATAAGAATAAGAATAATAATAGTGGTAGTGGTAGTAGTAGTCGCGGAAATCACAGAAGCTAGGAGAAGACATCAGTGTTTGGTGAACTATACAGCGAAGGAGGTGACATCTAACAGGGAATTTGATTTTGGTAGTATTGCAGCATGTCGTAGGACTTGGCGCGCCAGTGGTCCACACAGGCGCGCACCAGACGGATGTAGGCAGTGCCAGCGTCCCGGTCCGAGAGGCTCGGCATGAAGCGTTGACGCAACAGCTTGATTGTCTGCCCGCGGAAACAGGGCAATCCAGAATCCAGCATGGCTGAGACCAGCGCAACAATCGCCTCGCGGTAAGGTCGCAGAGCAAGGAAGGCGCGAACCGACAGTTGCTCGAACCACTGGAAGGCGGGACTGTCAGTTGTGCCTCCCATTATCATTAGCATCTCCTTAGTCAACTTAATGTCCGGCTCCCAACCGAGGTTGCCTCCAGGACTGCTTTCAAACATGAAGCCGAAATCTGAAGGCAGATCGATTGTCAAATGCTTTTACACTCCTTACATACACCAATACAAGTGCTTTAGCATAAAGTTGGACTCTTAGAGAAGCTGAGGCACTGTTTTATGTTTAACACTTCTTCAAACCTCATCGTAAGCCAAAGCGTGTGCGTAAAACTGTGTAATAAATTATGGATATTACAAATGTGGGAAATCAAGAACCAGAAATTTAACAAAGTGGGTAAAGTGAGTATGGTTCGATAACTTCTGCACATGAAGATACAAGGGTGTTGCTTGTGCCGAAATTGTAATATCGGTCTTTCTCATCACTACTGGCAGACGACGGCAAGAAATTATACATTTAATTTACGACAACGATCTTACATAACAAGACAGTAATTGGTCATTCAAGTACAAGTTGATCACGACACACTGATTAAGACATCAATATAGATTTCTTCAAACTTCAAAATTAGCTAAATCCAGCATAGAAATTCGTGCACTTACTATAACAGTGTGCATCGCCTCATATAATTTTCTGCAAATCCCATTGATATAGACACCAAAGTTTTCTTCATCTCACTCATAGCCCTCGCTAGATATGTTCAGTATATTTTCTTAATTAGGCGTTGTTTATTTGATAGTTCTGAAAAATCTTGTTGTGGGCCCCAGCATGTGGTCTTGAACCACATCAGGGCCACGGAATTAACCCTGGCCCGATTACGCTTGCCTGAACCCGCGATGAAAGGAAAAGGCCGGAGAGGATCACAAGCGTTTACTTCAGAGATCAACCACGTTGGTGTCGTTGTGTTGTGTGTGGTGTTTGCGTGTGTGTATTTATAGCTCGAATGTGTGAGTCATACATGCGCTAACATCGAGACCTATGTGCGGGGACACTCCAAGATAAATATTCGGGCTAATGAAGGGGGGAGTTAAGGATTCGAGCGGCTGGCGACTTGCTGCGACAAGGGGAACCCTGTGTAGGAGGTGAAGCGACCGGATCAGGGGGTTGAATAAACAGGATTCATGACAATCTCTTTAAAAAAGTAAAGCAGGCATCTTGGCCAATGTTAACTTGAGTTGACTACCGTTGAATGTCATTTTCTTCGTCTCAATAGGCCTTCTTAATCAATCCAGATGCGCAGACTCATTTTCCGGTTTATTCTTTCATACATTAGGATATCGTCTCATGTTGTCCAATTTCATTTTTCTTTTTTTGTTACTGTTACTTTACAGTGATTCCATTAAAGGATGCCCAGGACTAGGGTATATGAGGACCCTGTTTGCTTCCATAGTACCGACCAGACTGTGGCCGTTTCTGTCTCAATAAAGTGTTAGTTTTGTCTCAGCCTTATTATCACAATTGGCCTGAAACCTAAGACTAAATAGAGGATGACCGCCATGGCAGCTGCAGCTGGCATTTAAGGGTCTTTGTCTCTGTTGTCCATTGTAGGAAAAGGGCTGGATTTCGGTTCACGTTATTCAAACGCATCCGCTGCCACCAATGTAGAATATCCGAGCCCTAACAGAAAGAAGCCTGGTACAGCAGAACAGGCTTTATTGACCAATCACTAGCCCGAATTAGACGCCAGTCGACGCCCATCCGAGTCCACCGCGCTGGCTGCTCCACTCATTATATACTGCTCCTAATTCGTGTCTTTCTCTGGTTGGCTGCCTATCTTCCTCGCATGCCATTGGAACGCAGAGATACACGGGATTGGCTGATGCCAGCGTGGTCCAACATGTCTGCGCCCTTATACGTCGTCACTGTAGGTTTCGGCCCCATGGTATAGTGAGGAAGAGAATGAGACAAAATGATTTTCTTTAATAAAGGATGAAACTCGC